GGCCTTGTCAGGGCACTTTCCCACCAGCCCATGACAGCGCCCTCACGGTGTGAGCCCAAAGCATACACGTACCTTCAGGTGGTCAGCCATTACGATGATGGATGGATCCTTGAGGGCGCTAAGCAGCTCCTTGGTGACCCTCTTCTTCTCCCGTCGGTAGTTCTTCTTCTGAGCCTGGAAAATGGGACAGAGTTACAGTAGCCATTTCATGAAAAAAAAACCATCATAATAGTCAGTTCTTGTATAGTGCATATCACGGAGTGTACATGTGTCTATGCGCCCATCGTTATCCCTGCGCACTGGGCTCACGTCGTCTGAATATTCCTGAAACCATCAGCTCCCTGGGGGGTATACTTGCCTAATGCTACCATTTTTTGTCCATGATGTACATGTACATGTATTCTGGTCTACGTCCGTGTGGTATTGTAGCCAAGTCTGTCACAAGTCCCTTCACAAGACCAGCCATGAATAATGAGGTGAACGATGACAAAGGAATGCTTTTTTAACGGTTCACTGGAATAGTTTGACTTAGTGACTGGACCAATTGACTTTTGCTCCATTTGTACTGGACAAAGATACAGGGGCTTTTGATGGACCCGACTACAACATGCCTCCATGTACATACATGTACGTGTACCTAAAATATGTACATGTACAGTATATGCATGTCTATGTACATGTACGTGCATAAAACGTAGGAGTAACGGTCACACTAAGCAATGAGGATTTATCATCGGTTTACTGTACAGCTACCTTTACATGTACTCACTGTGAAATACTTGAAACTAATTCCACGTCTTGAAGCCATTTTTGCTGTTTTCTTTTTCCAGAACTTTTAGCACTGCCATGTAATGTACATGTAATGTCTATCTCCAATGACAGACATTCACTGTATCTGTCAACATGCCCCACCCAAGCATTTAAAAGGATTTTGCAATGTTTACAATGCAACCAGAGGTTGGTCTGGTCATACTGTTGCTGAGTCCTGAGCGCGCGTGGGAGAATGCAAGATGGCCGCCGGATCCTATTCAGGAAAGCCCAAACCTCTGGTTAACCCGAGGTTCACTTTGGAAACCTGAGAGTGGAAATCTCTCCAGTGCGGTTAAGCAGGCCCATTAATGGGTGACTCATTAAGGGAAATAGGGGGGGATTTAGGGGCCTCGTTTGTACAAGGTTCTCAAAGAAATCTGAAAAAAAATCCATGACTTTCTAGGACTTTACAGGACTAAAACTATGACAATTTCTGTGACATTTCAGGCCGTTTTCCAGAGAAAAGTTGTTTGATAAGAATTGGATGAGCCCCACAGCCACTTCTCTACAGACTGACAAGGAATTTATCACTGTTCCGTTATCACATCAAAAGTACCCCATCAAAAAAAAAAAAAACCTTGTATGATTTTTAATTTTCGTGACTTTTTTTCCTCTGACAACTGGATTCAACAACACCCTTTTCCCCCAATTATCCGTAACTTTCCAAGACAATGTTTTTTCCAGGTTTTTCCATGGGAGTGGGAACCCTACGGTAATTAACGTTCCTACAGAAAATATTCCAGTATGAATTAAAAAAATGTCCAAAATTAATATACAAGCATGTATATACCTGAATAGCCAGTATTTTGGGGGCAAAAAGGCAGTCATGAATTTATTAAATAATTCATTATTTATCAATAATTTACACGTACATGTACAAACATGTATACCGGCACCATGCATGTACATGTACATGTAAACAGAGGGTAAATAATGGTTTCTTTTACCATGTTTACCTTTGTTTTGGTGAAATTACACTGCTTGGGAAAAAAAATCAAATTGCCTTTGTGAATTTGAATACGGCAAGATTACCACTAAAAAAGCCAGACATAATGACAGTCCATGTGTACACATGTACACCATATCAGAGATTAAGGATAACTTAACAATTGGAGACATTTTTCATTTTGAGATTGACAAGGCCTGTGAAAAAAACGAAAATGAAAGAATGAAAGCAACACCAAACCGGAACCATCCGGTGGAAGCCTGCACACCAGGGTTAATTTGAACAAGTCTGGGACTGATATGCTTCATAAAAGGACTCCTAACCTACATGTACATGACAATGTACGGCTGTGTCTGCATTACTTGGCTGCGGCTTGAAATTATGCACAACTCTATAGTTGAGGCTGTAACTGCTTCCCACCAAGTCGTGTGTGACGTACAGTATGGTGCAGCCAAGTAATTTTGACACGATCTACATGTCTATAAATGCGTGGGTGTGTACACCGGTACATACCATAAATGAACAATATATCATGTACCTCCCCCCGTATGATGATGTTCAAAGTTTCACATTCCTTGTTTTTCTTTTTACTCACACAGGTGAATCATCATTACCGGTCCACGCAACAATGGGCCTTGACTCAAGCAATAAATAGTACATGTAGCCATTGACGCTCTACAAATTTCAATGGGCCGCAACCAGTGACCGTGAACCGGTGACGTGGTGGCTCATTACATAAGTCCACATTTAATTCCTGAAGTGAGGTCTGTCACAATAGAACTGAGAAATGCTACTTGTACTATGTACATGTAAGTACGTGTACATTTTAACAAAGCCAGCTGGGACATGCTCAATGGATGCATTCGTTTCGAAACTGGATGCAAGAGTCATACATGTAGTCACATCTGAAACAACGGACTACCGGTACATTTGTACAACTCACGAGGAAAAATTTATTGTCATTCCCATGATCTAGGCACTGCACTTTAAATTCAAACAAGCAAATAAGAATTAAAAGCCATGGTACCTTATAACCAGACTATTACCGTGCCACGGAGGCTCAGTAAATTCAGTGAAATCTATATAAGCCTAAAAATATTTTGTGGGAACACAGAAAAAGACTTTTACCTTCATTTCTGACAATATTAAAGCTCGGATGGGGTTCAGCTCAGCGTATGAATACATGTACATGTAAGCACCCACAGATTTGAGGATTGCCACGAATCGTCAATACACGTCCAAAGATCACAGACGGCACTGATGATGTTGAGATTTCTTGATCTGAAGTCAGATCAGAACTCCAAAGACTTTGCTAGAGGAGAGTCTACCAGCTACATGTACATGTAGACTCTGGCTGCTACCGGCAGACCTCCCACAGATCACAGAGTCCGGAGTCTTGAGGTGCGTGTATCAAACGGGTGCCAATCTCTCAATGAGTTACATGTATGCCAAGCCAGAAACTGACAAACTCGGAGTCAATGGAAACTGTCTTGTTGAATTTCTCTCAGGGAGCTGTAGACTGCAGAAAACTCACAAGTCGCTGGCCCGCTACATGCAGAACCTATTCAGATGTTCTATGTGTAATTCACACTACTCATCCACACACACCCATAGCAGAGCTAGCGGTTCTGTGCCAACAGCACTTCTCAGATTTTCAATAGTGTGATTAACCTTAACATTCTTAGTCATGAGATCTTCCTGCTCTTAGAAACTCAGGGGATCGGAAAATCAATTAACTTGGGAGAGAAGTCCTGAAGCCCTCATAAGGCACAGTTTTTTTCTACATGCACGAGTCAGACGGTAGTAACGTGGCTGCTGCTGGCCATGTCAGCGTTCCGTCCTGTCTAGTGCCTCAGTCACCTTGAAACAACGTCCCGAGTGAGTTGTGCACAGCGCCTGCAGTGTATGTTCATGTGCAGACAAAAATGAGCTCCTTCCTTCCCGGGGAAATTGGCGGGGACAACCAATGCTCTCACAAGAATCGCGCTGTCGCTCAAGCCACACGTCTGCCGTGAGTTCAAGACACTTGGCAGGCTCTGGAAGTGAAGTTGTGGTAAGGAGCAGTCCATGTGCAACATAACGGTACCTGATCTTCTGCCTTAACGGAACATTTATCGGTACACAGACAATGTACACGTACAGTGTGCTGCCGATACATGTACCTCACACTGCATGGTGCATCAATCGTTCATTTGACAGTTATTCGGCTCTTCCTTTTCACAGCAAAGAGGTGCTTGTTCCAAGTCTACATGTACATGTAGCTATATATGCACATCCTCAGTTCTTTATTTATTAAGTGCCCAAGCTGTAAGATAATCCGCGACCCTCCCTTGACACTTTTGAGGTGCATGTAACAAGCCGACGAAAGGCAGTTTTTTTGATCCAGCCATCCAGGCTTGAGAGAACCGTCATAAATATTTCCATCCACTAATCTCCCCAAAAGCAGCACACCTCATTAATTACTGTGCATGCGAACACACTGTAAAATTAACCAGCTGGCTCATGCGGGGACCCACTGTAAGCTCTCTCGTGCAGTTGATGCTGTCGTCAAGGCAACACACGATGCATTTTTCACATCATGAATAGGTGAGTGCACTGATGCACGATGGCATGACCATTTGGGTAAGTATACCGGGTACAAGCACTTCACATGTTTATCATACATGTGCATACATACATGTACCTATGCACACCGGGACATGTACATGTACTAGTGCATGTAGCTCTAGGCACTGGACAGATAATCACTCATGAATGTACCAGGTACTACTGGCAGTATACACTAAGTGCTTGAAAGTACTCGTTTGTACATGTACATGTACATGTAGATGTAGGCACTGGACAGATAATCACTCATGAATGTACCAGGTACACTGTACTACTGGCAGTATACACTAAGTGCTTGAAAGTACTCATTTGTACATGTAGCTGTAGGCACTGGACAGATAATCACTCATGAATGTATCAGGTACTACCGGTAGACTAGTATACATTAAGTGCTTGAAAGTACTCGTTTGTACATGTAGCTGTAGGCACTGGACAGATAATCACTCATGAATGTACCAGGTACTACCGGCAGTATACACTAAGTGCTTGAAAGTACTCGTTTGTACATGTAGATGTAGGCACTGGACAGATAATCACTCATGAATGTACCAGGTACTACCGGCAGTATACACTAAGTGCTTGAAACATCTACTGCGAAAGCCTGGAAGCAACATCTACATGTACCAGTACATGTACACGTACAATATTAATACAGAAATCTCCCCCCCCCAACCTTCAATGTTTTTCTGACTTCCACCGCTGCAAAAGCATTCAAGTTGATGTCTTGCAATCATTTTGACACCATTTTTACGAAAATTGGACCCGCTGTTCTTGCGAAATACCCACTTTGGGGACATTCCTAATCCATCAAGCTGCTCCCAGGCACTGTACATCAAAATATACATGTAAATAAATCAATAAATCAAACCTACATGTACATGAACAGTACATGTACATGTACTCTTACATGCACATGTACGCGCACATCTTTATCCATGGTCCCATGAGGATCCCCTGTCAAATTTATCAGGCAGAGTACACATGTAACAGTACATGTACTGTTACATGTACATGTATATATGAAACAAGAAAATTTACATGGGGGGGTTGTGTATTAGCTCTAAAACACAGGTACCCACATGTACATGCTCACGTACATCTTTATCCATGGTTCCAGACGGATCCCCTGTCAAATTGATCAGGTAGAAAACACAGAAAACAGAAGCGGCCACCGATTCTCCAAGGTCACAACAGCCAGCAGTTTCTGCCCCAACTTGGCCTCTGTAAACACCACGTCCACTCTCTACAAACCTGGACCAGATCTGATTGCGGGGGGGTTTATTTTCTCAGGGAGAAGCAATTCTATTTATTGTTGTCAGATCCCGTCTCCTAGCAAAATTCATTGACCTACTTGTCAAATATTTTTTCCCCCGTCCCTATTTGGCTTGTTCAAGTTAATGATTACCTGCTTAATGAATAAACAAGGCTGACAGGAGTGGATACTTTGCATGCCCCATCGCACCCATTACAAGAGGAGGCCAGCAGAGGTCTGCTTATCACAAGAAGTGCAACTATCCGCTCCCGTGGCTGGGAACCCTGAAATGGCAATGCGCAGACGAACCAATGAAGTGCCTCGAATGCCTTTCAAGTGCCAGGGCATTTAGTGATTGGTAGCCATCTGCTTGGCTACCGATACATGTACATACAATGGATGTAGCGGTTGCACTTAGTTTCGTATTAATGTAGCTGAGCTAAATCGGTCACAGTTGGAAGACTGTATGTACTGATAACATGCACTGTACATGTACGCATGTATTATACACATGTCATTAGATGAACATCAGAATGGCATTCTTGACACAAATCATTTTGCATGGTGCCACGGAGGGCAAAAAAGCGGGCAATAGAAGGCACAAAATCTGTCCATCTGGCATCAAGAGTATGACACAAGTCAACAGCCATGGCCTCTTGGCAGTCATAAGGACAGATATATCGGTACATGCACAGGTAGCTGGCAAATGTACGAATTCAGTACAAGGGTCCCAACAGGTCAGACCCTGACCTACATGTACACGTAATGGGAGACTTTGAGACGCTTGGTGGCGCCAGACACAAGAGTCCTTTTTGGTTGATGTGGAGTACAGGTATCGGTACGCCTTGCCAGGGTTAAGGAGACAATTTCTTTAGTTATGAACCAAAACACACAGTGTTGTTAATCCCCCCAAATTAGGTAAGAAAACGAGTGTACATGTACTGTATCGTCATACATGTACATCTGACGAACCGACGAAAATGAAATAACACTGTTTTATTTTAGAAAAACACCTTTTTAAGCAGTTGCGTGCTCGTTTCCGATATTTAATCCAACTCTCTTTTGATCTCTGTGCATAAAAGATACAAAATTGGTCATTTAAAATCATTTCCTCATTTGTATTTTGGCTCTATGAGCAATACTTTGTCTGAATACTGCTGTCCAACCTATTTGTCAGTTTGTGAGATAAAATCTGAAAATCACCAGAACGGTTGATTTGCTGGCTCGTCAGACATGCGACGGTATGTCCCCACAACTACGAAATATACACGTACTGGCACATGTACTGCACATATGTACTACCGGTAAATGAGTGCATCGCTCAAGCATACACGAGCTCGAGGATTTTTCTCTTGAATGTGAGCAAACTAGCACCTGGAAGCATTTGAGGGTAGAGTGTCAGTGCACTTGTGCACAGAGCCCACTGCAGAGACCAGATCGTTTCTGTTCAGTTCCCACCATCCACTCAGGCTGTGCAGGCAAGAAAGTTGGCACAATTTTAAGCACACTTAGGAACAACATCCCTTCGGTGGTGACTCACTTTGGGCTTGCACTGTGTGCGAGAGCCACGCTGAATGTGTGCAACCAATTTCAAAATTGGGATACTGAAAAGTCTTTCCGCATGCGCCTGGTGCCTGGTTGAAATGGTCCCTGCTAGCCTCTCTCTTCTTGGCCAGTGAGGGTGCTTTTCTACTCTCAGAGCTGATGAACTCACCTTGAGCGACTCCCGCTTGGACAGCTTGCTGGGCGTGGTGCCCGAGGACCCGTAGCCATCGCCGCTCGTGTTGAGTTTCCCTTCAGACTGCAGAAGAGAAGAAAATAGAACGTAAAATTTCCAGCGCTTAAAAAAGGTCAGATGGTACTCTGATGGATTTGGAGTGACTCACAGAAACTGAGAAAAGCAGAATACACGTATACATGGAGATAATATTTATAATGAGCTCATGCTTGTCTTTTAACTTTAGTCTTGTAAGGTTCTGCATGTCCATGTATATGCATGTACTGTATGTAGATCCTTTCAGTGTACTAATCTTTCTAGTAGCCTAACATGGCAGTAAATGTCTTGGTCCAAGATAAATGCAGAGTGAAGATTTGCTTATAACATAAATCTGAGGTGCCTCACAAAGAAAAACACTTCAAGAAAACTGGCCGCAGAAAATTGTTTTGTCGGGTGTATGTGGCAGTGACATGCTCATATGACGTGCACGCACATGTACATGTACAGTACGACGATATCGTGCATTAAAAAAGTTATGGCACTAAAAGTTGAGGCCTTTTTTTTCATGCTGCACTAGAATCCAAAAAGAGAATGATTCCTTACGAAGCATTTTCTCGCCTGCTGGGCAGACCATTCCAACCGCGAAGCTTGTGAGCTCATGAAATGTCACAGAACAGACCACGCTTGCGGCTGAGTGTTCAAGATTCGAGGTTATAAAAGGTGGAGTTCGGAGAAGACCAGCTGAATAATGGACAGTTAATGTAGGGGACTACAATGTGAAGGTCGAAGGTCAAAGGTCAGGAGGGCATGTAGGGGAACTTGGATAAAAAAGGGAGACCATCAAAAGAATGGATGGGTGGGGTTGAATTCCTATATTTCGGACAAATGTATCGCTACATGTAGGGATCAACCTTAATCCTCCTAAATCCTACAAAATCCACTAGGTGTTGGAAGATTATTTGGGATTGAGGAAGGTAATGTCATGCAATTACATAATGTACACTGCTTTATGTCCACTGGAAGTCCACTGAAATTTTGAGAGCAAATTGCTCTACTAACTTCCCAATGCAGTGGTAGACTACAGAGGATGTGAAAATACAGATTATGAACTGATGACTGGGATGAGGAAAGGATGAAGACCGGAGAGGTTAGCAACAGGGAAGATACCGATAAGAGAGCACTGGAGGAAACGGCACAGGACGACAACAGAGAGGTTCAAGAGAGGGAGCTGTTTATTTTGCAGCAAGACGGCGGGGCAGCAGGAGGGAGCAAAGGAGGGAGGAAGGGAGGATGGGATGGAGCGAAGGAGTGGGGACGAGACAGCGAGACGGAGATGAGCAGGGCGAGGCAAAGCAAGACCAGCAGGAGGCGAGAGAACGTGTGACAGAGGAGGAGATGTGGGGAAGGCATGCTTGACAGTGGGATCGAGAAGCAGAGACGGCAGCAGCAGAAGGGGAGGATGACAGAGTGGACGGTCGATGAGGACTTGGGAGGCTTGGTGCAGCTCAGAATCCAGAGTCAAAGTAAAAACTCTCTCGAGATGTCACCAGATGACTGGATCCAAAATTAGCTGGAAATGTCACGGGACAAGTAAGGTTTGCCGGTAGGCCTGCGTTCTATGAAAGCAAAGCTGGTCGTCTGAGCAACTTGTACAGAATCAAATTTTTTGATGTGAAATGTCGAATGGCTCCTCTCTGCTGAACTCTTGACAAGACAATTCGGCCACAACTCTCGACGGAAGATCAACTGCGGAGCACGGCACACACTGTCTGGGATTTGGGCTTCCGAAGTTCAATGACAAAGATGACAAGTTGATTAGATTGCCAACAAAATCCTCTGGCTCACAGGTTGACAATCTTCTCATATGTCCCGAGGAAGTACGAGTAGTCAGGCAGCCAGCCAATCACAAAAATTGTGGAATAATTGCAAAGCGAGAGGCAAGTTTGACAGCAATATTCAGGACTCTGGTGACAAATTTACCACAGGTCTGCAACTTCAAGAAAGCGGAAGAGCAGAATGATGGATGAGAGGAAAATAAAGAACCATTAACTGAGAAGAACTCCTAAATTAGACAACTTCGAGAAATTACTGAAAGGAAAAAGGACAATATCCATCAGTGGTGTTACAAGAGCGCTATCTTAATTTTCGGGGCACTAGCCACGACGAGAGCGAAGGAAAAACTGGTTGGAACATACAAACTCGGGATCCTTTTGACAATTCAGCATGAAAAAGGAAGACATTGATGCGCAAACGGAAAAAAAAATTTCAGTCTGGAATTCCAAGCTGGGCAGGCTAACACTAACAAACTGTTTCCACTTTTATCTTTTCAGGCGGGGGCTCGTGTATACAAAACCAGAAACAGTACAATAAATCTTGCCGTCGCACGTCAGCATCGAGCCCTCGGGGCAGACGTCTAAAATTAGCTGGATGCGATCATGCGACACGCGCTGCAATATCTTCAAATTGATTTACGGCTGATATGCCCCTGTTTTTCTTTTCTTTTGGAGGGGGGGTTGCTTTAGTATTACTGTGGGTTTCTTTCTGGTCTTTTGGTTTTTTTTTTTGGAGAGCAATGCGGTGCCCGACGGGGCCACTATGAATAATTGGGGCTGAATTCAAAGTCGGTGCGTCAGTTAACGAAATTATCCGTGCATCTAAATGTACATGTATTTTTTGGCATTTTGATTAAAACCTGCATTCATAAGAAGGGGAAGGGACCGCACAGGCCAAACGTGAGACACTAATCACTTTGCAGCCTGTACAAGCAACCATGCGACCCGCTCGGTAAAAATGAATATATTTGAGGTTTACTTTGCATAACGTACATATGTACATGTAGATTGAGGAATTTGAACTCTTTGTTTGTATGTGTCTCTTCGTTTGGTCTGATGAGAGTTGACGTCGCGTGGATTCTAAAATGTTTTGAATTCCTACTGTACAATATTTTTCAAAGACCTTCAACTCAAAAGGGCCCTAGTGACATGACTCATTTTTTGCAGAGCGGGTCACACGTACATGTGTACACATCCCAACGATCCTAAAGTTTCCAAATACTGTATCCCCACTTGTCTCTTTCTCTCCACCCAGAGGCATAAAATGGTACCATTCCTACAGGTGCACGTCTCCATATAAGGGAAGAGAGGGCAGTCACGTTTAATTAGTCATTGGTGCCTGACGGAAATGGCAATGACATTAATCTGTGTAGTTTCCAAAGAGAGCTGATGAGATGGTTTTAGGAACTTCAACCGGCCCGGTGATGGGACACGTACAGCTACATGTACATGACATGCCTTGACCACCAGTACTACTGGGTACATGTATACTGGCACATGTAAATACATGTATGTACATTGTATGTTGTACATGTACATGTATGTAAATACCATTTCAATTACCGGTACAGTGTACAGGTGTACAGGTGTACAGGTGTACAGGTGTACAGGTGTACAGGTACCATACATGAGCCCAATATCATTATTCCTCTTTCCCTTTTCTGAACACTCTGCACCCACCAACAGCTGCTTCATTTTAACCGATCTCATCACTTGTCAAGTCAATTTGTGCTGCTTGTTTAGCAAAACCCGTTCACCAAACTTGTCCGTTTGATTTACGAAATGATGAGATTGCTTTAAGACGACTGAACAATCAGGGGAAGTAGTCTGGGGAAAGATTAATGGCCCAAACAGACTGTCACTTCTAATGGGCTCAGACTGATTAATTTCATGGAGACAGTCACGCCATGGTCTCCTTTCCATTTCTATAAATGATTTCCTGTTTGGTAGACCAAAGAGTAAATCTACATGTATGACACTGGGCAGGCGCAGGACAGGAAAGGAATAAGCAAGTGTTGCGGTGGTTATACATGTACTCGTAAGCAGTTCCTAGTTGGCGCACGGCTCATTTTAGAACCTGTCCATGTTTCATGAAGCACATGGATCTTTCAAAGCTGGGTCTGTCCACACTAACAGATACATCTGTGTGACATTCAACACAACTTTGCAACTGCAAAGTTTTGCCGTTATTTTTTGCTTATGTCTTCACCGTTTCTGATTGTGCCACAGAAAGGTCAAGATAAATTGAAGAGCATTAAAGAAATTGCAGAAGTTTATTCCTAAAAGATATAACGTTTGTCACGTGGACAGACACTTTGTTTCTCAAATGTGACATTTAAATTCAAAATACGATTGATGCGGTCACTACATGTACCGGCACCTGCAATGTACTAAATACTCTTTTTAGAAACTTTCACAACTCAGAAAAGCAATTCCAGTATATGTACATGTGTAACACTGAAATTTATTTCATGAATACAAGGCAAAGTTTGTCACATGGACAGACATCACGTTTGTCACATGGATAGACATCACGTTTGTCACATGGAGAGACATCACGTTTGTCACATGGACAGACATCACGTTTGTCACATGGACAAACATCACGTTTGTCACATGAACAGACATTTTTTCAGTGTTTGAATTTGAGAATGAAAACAGAATTGGTCACAAGTCAAACTTGTTTGCTTTCAGTTTTCAAAGTCATTTCTAGTCAAAAGACCATTAAACGTCAGCTTAAATGAAGACTACATACGTATGTAAGTTTTCTCAATGAGTAACATTTGTTACATAGACAGATGTAATGTTTGATGTTGACGTTATGATGTCACGGATCATTATCTGGGGACAGACAGTCTGGACCGACTTTTTCCAATGAATTGTTCGTTATTGTATTTACTTTGGTTGCGTGAGAAAAATACAGTACTTGTGACAAACGTTACAAAACTGGGGACAGACATTTGGAATTCCTAAAATCAAATCTAAATTTTGTTTGTGACAGACAAAACACAAAAATGATGTGAAGTATTCACGTCAAAACTTTTCTCAGAAAGATTCATATATTTTTGTTGTACCAGTAACTTTCCTACTCAAGGAATGGCAAAATCAGCCCGTTTCATGTCTTTCACTCTGTGGACAGACACTGTGACGTACATGTACGCTACATGTATTCCTGAATCATGTAGCTCTCCATAAATTCCGGTTTAAAATAACTCGAATAAATAAAAAGCCATAGATTTCGACACACTTCTCAAATGTTATACTGTACTTGTAGCACCCATATATGGACAGCTGTGAAGAGCAATTCCTTTAGGCAAAGTTCAGAGAAGAAGAACAATTCTTTCCTTTAGGAATTGTTCAGGGAAGAACAATTCCTTTAGGAACTGTTCTTCACCATGATAGTGGTATTTTAGATAACCGGAAAAACCTGAGATGTGCATGTCCCTCCAGAACCACTAAAATAAGCTGGACATTTTCATCAAAATCCTGATTATTTTAGCAACTAACGGGTAACAACCAATTCCTATTAAACTGTGTAAACTACTTCTGCACCGGTATCTCTTCTATTATACAAATATTTGTACAATTGTTTAAGTTCATTTCTCGACTCTCGGCAGTGTTAAAGGGAGAGACGATTTGGGTTGTGTGCAACTATGCGTTAGCGTGGACAGACCCGTGCACATTTTCCATGGCATTTAATGCCACTTTCTGGAGAAAAGTTGTTTGGTATAATAAAACAGTCCTCAATCCTCCAACAGGTGAAGGATTGAGGACTGTTAGGGTTAGCTAATGAGTGACAAAGATACATGTACATGTATCGGTATGAACCTCGAGCTGGACTTAGAGGGCACTATTTTCTTAGCGACGGAAGCTCCTTTGGCAGGAACAGCACTTTGCTGGTTCACAAAGGACTATGAAATGCAAGCGTTACGGTCGCATCGCTACCAACAAAATGAGCATTCCCAACCAATGTGGCTCCTTTCAACTGGTGAGGGGGTGCTTTTAAGTTTTGCTCGAGGGAGATAGCCTGTAAAAATCAAAACAACCCATCAAACATACCGGTACATGTACATGTAACCCTGGCATGATCTGGATCCAACTGACTTTTCCATGACTTTTTTCTGTAATATAACAGGATCCCAGGACATCCAAAGTTTTCCCTAATTTTTCATGTTTTCCTGGAACGACTTTTTGGGCAGGGTTGTCCAGGATTTCCCATGCCAGTGGGAACCCTGATAAAGCACAGGTATATGTAGCAATGTTCAGTAAAATCAACTGTCAATTTGAAAAGGGCTGAAAATCGGACAAAGTCTTCCCAAACCCGGTGAATTTTAAAGGCTCTTGGAAGGTCAACCACTACAAGCAGATACATGTACAGATATGCATCTTGACTGCTATTGTACATGTACAGATCTTCAGAAAAAAAAAACAAGCAAGCACATGCACATCACAACAGCAAAATGAATCATCACTTTGCATTGGTTCGCCGGAGGCCGACAAACAAAATTGTCGATATTGGGGAACTTGTGCCTTCTGTTACTCTTCACTGTGATTTGAAGCAAAAACACCAGCCTGTGCCAGTAAACCCAGAGGCCAAAGGTCCCCACGGGAAAACAAGCATCTCCGCACTGACGTCATCAAATCAATGCATTTCAGGCCGTGTTTACGTGGAAACAGAGAGGTATTTTTAGCCATGTTTTGAGCAAAAACACAAAGAGATTTGAAGAGGATTTTTCTAGTGATGTCGTGAGGCAATTAACCACTTCATGTCGGGGCATTTTTCAATGTTGATGATGCTGGGCCGGCAGGACTATCATTTT